TGTACTTTAGCAGCTCATCCATAGCCTTAGCCATGTTCATATGTCCTCGCATTTCTAACCAATCCTCTATAGTTTAGCTTCCACACTTACTGTTTCTGTCCCTAAAACTCCCTGTTGACTGACACAGAGAGAAAAGGTGCAAAGCTTATTTCAAAGACTGATGTTACAATGACTAGCAGTTTAAATGTTTTTGTACGAGAAGCAAACAACTCTAGCAAATGATTCAGAGCATCAGCAAAAGCCATTATGCACTGGATAGTCCTCAGAACACCTTCTGGGCTCATCTATCTCTTTTGTATATATGCAAGCAAAGCTTTTAATATCTTTATGGTTTAGTGGTATGAATGTTCTCTTCCTGTGCATGGGGCCTCACTGATGCTTCAGTTCTGATTTGGAACCCAGCACTTAATATTTACTTGCAGAAGGACACAAAACATTCACAGTATTATTTAAAGCTTTGAGCTTTAAAAATTGCAATTGCTCTATTGCTATTGCATTTAATCCCAGCAGCATTCCTCCACAAATGCTTTCATTTAAAATTTTCCTGGTGAAATCTCCAATCTTCTGGGGCCCATCAATCTAACTGAAAAGAGGTATTTTTGAGGAGGAATTGGGGGTCCTAGAATTTAGAAGTTGCCCTGCTCACCTTGACAGGGTGTAAGTGACTTAGCCATTTCCCGAAGTTATGTAGATGTCTGGAAAGGTAAAAAGAAATACAAATCTTTCCTTTGTTACCTTCCAAAATTTGAATTACATTATAGAGTACATCAGTACTAGAAAGATTTCAGTGCTGGAGCTTGATATCTATCATCACCACTAGCAGCTCAAATGATGTGTGAAATGCATCCTCAGGAAGTGGGTAGATGACATCAAACAGAGGGTGTGGAGTGCACATGTCCTTATATAATAAGGAATAAACACACTCCCTGTGAGGTGGTGAACAAAAAGAGTTTATTTCAAAATCGGCACTGGTTTTATCCCTTAAACCCATGTGACTTCTTTGACCAATAAGGTTATCTATGTCGGCGCATGCTCCCTTGGACACTCTTGCCCTGGTACATCCCCTGCACCTTAAACACGCCTCCTACAAGAGGGACTTGTGAATATGCTACAAAGCAATGTTATCCTGGAGAAGGTCCCCAAAAGACTTCATCCTGGAGCCAACAAGAACTCCACAAATTTTAGAAAAGGCAGTGTAAAGTCCCATATGTAAGAAAGAATAGCCCCATAAACAGGATACCTTGGCTTTCATTTGTCTGGAAAACAACTTTGCAAAAGAGGGTCTTGTATCCTGGTGCATGTGTCAGAGTGTGCCTTTGGAGGAATGAAGGTCAACAGCACATGGTCAGACACTCAGAACAGCATAGACATCAGGTAAATAGGAGCAATTCTTTCCCTGCATTCAGCTCCCAGATCTGGGGCACTGTGTTCAGTTTGCTGTTTCCTGGTGTCAAGAAAGACAGTGACATTCTGGAGTGAGCCTAGTGGAGAACTTCCAACACTGGTAGGAGAAAATTATGTATGAGGAGAGGATGAGGTTTGTCTAAGCTGGGGATGAAATTAAAAAGTATTTATCTTACTCTTATCTTGTCATTGTAACAAAAAGGAGGTGGGTATATTGTAGAAAGAGCCAAAGTCTTCTCAGATAGGCAGAGTGAAAGGCTGAGGGATAATAAGACATGGGTTTCAGCCACAGGTATTTTAATTAGGTAATAAATAGGGGGGAAAAGTCACCAACTTGGTCATCAGACATTACACTGGGATGCAGAGGGACTAATATTGAGAAATATCAATTCTTGGACATAATAAAAACTTCACTGGAAAAGGTTCTTGGAATGTGGATCCAACATGTGTCCTGATTGCACAGGAAGGTGAACCAACAACTGCCTGAGAGTCTTCCTAAATCACACATTCTATTTCAGTTCGAGTCTATCCATAAACTGTGTGGCAACAAAAAACGTTGACTGATTTGAGTAACATATCTGCTCTTCCACAGTGTTCTCTGCTGACAAGCTCCACCAAACAGTGCAGCCATGTCGTCAGACGCTGAGATGGCCATTTTTGGAGCGGCAGCTCCTTACCTCCGGAAGTCAGAGAAGGAGAGAATCGAGGCCCAGAACAAGCCTTTTGATGCCAAGACATCCGTCTTTGTGGTACATGCAAAGGAATCCTTTGTGAAAGGGACAATTCAGAGCAGAGAATCAGGGAAAGTCACTGTCAAGACTGAAAAGGGAGAGGTGAGTGAAAAACAAGCCTGAAGGACAACATTTGATTCATATTCTGAGTTTTCAGTTGACATACGTGGATCTTTTGTTTCCTTGGCAGACCCTGACTGTGAAGGATGATCAAATCTTCTCCATGAACCCTCCCAAGTACGACAAAATTGAGGACATGGCCATGATGACCCACCTCCACGAACCCGCTGTGCTGTACAACCTCAAAGAGCGTTACGCAGCCTGGATGATCTACGTAAGTGGCAGCAGCAGCTTCCTTTGGGCAGCTGGAGGAACTGCTCTGCCAGGCCCAGGGGAAACCAATGTGCTGTGTGCCTTCCTCACAGACCTACTCA